CGATTTTTGTTTTATGGTTGATTTTATCGCATATAACATTCGATTTATCACATATAACATTCGATTTATCACATATAACATTCGATTTATCACATATAACATTCGATTTATCGCATATTATTTGATTCACGCATCGAATGATGCATCGAATCATTCGATGCGTGAATCGAATGATTCGATGCGTGAATCGAATCATTCGATGCGTGAATCGAATGATTCGATGCGTGAATCAAATAATATGCGATAAATCGAATGTTATATGTGATAAATCGAATGTTATATGTGATAAATCGAATGTTATATGTGATAAATCGAATGTTATATGCGATAAAATCAACCATAAAACAAAAATCGAATTATGACACAAACAACATGCCATAGATTAAAACGTGTCAACATTAGACCGACTCACGATATGTGTCAGCGATCTCTTAATGGTTGCTAGCATTTATGCTGACAGGGAAATATTCTTATTTACGTGAGCCTATAACAATCGATTCAACATTCCATCGACTAATCATCCACTAACCGGATTAAAACTGAATTATAGATGACTCCAAGAAACCGACTGGCCGAGCGTGTTAATTATTCATTAACGCGGTTTTAACAATTAATGCACACAGAGGGCGTTCAGCCATTGCGCTAGCCAGCGTTGTCCTAGCGGAGGCGTCTGCATCGACGGTTGCTATGGCAGCGAAGACAGCTTTTGCATCTGCCCGGGCGATAACGGCAGGACGGACGATTGCGCGGAGCGAGGTACGTGAAGTTACGTCGATCAGCCCGCTGACGTGGTTTCCATCTCGCTATATGATATCGGAAAAAGTATCGGTTCATTTTTGTTTGCCCAGTGACTTTTTGTTCGACTTTTTACGCCACGTCGAGTTAAGATATCCGGGCAATAATTCTTTTTTCCGCCCCTCTCCTGATTGAGATATATAGATGTGGATGCCGGCTGCATTAATTCAAATTAAGCTAGATTGAAACTAAATCTTGATGCATAGCCAAACATGATTAATGAATTCATCTGGTAATGAGAGTGCAACGAATTGTTACATAATAAATATTTCAATGCATACATTGTTAGACAAATAAATGGATATGTGGACAGTTGAATGAATGGATGGATGGACGGACGGACGAACGGACTGACAGACGAACCAAGACACCGACAGGCGAATAGACGAAGAAACAAATCGATACACGAATAAATGTTCGAATGGTTGGAAAAAAAAATTATTTATAAATTAACTAAATTTAAAGAATTTAAAAGATAAAAACGATAAAGATAGCAATAATGGCGACTTCTAGGCATTAAGCTAATGTTTCGCCTGTCTCCCTAACCCTAACCCATCTCAGATCTCGACAGAGACAGGTCGGTGCTGATAGTACAGATACTGATGACGTAAGCGGTCACTGACCTCTGACCTCTTGCAGGGTTACCGACCTGGGCCGAGTGGGCATCGTGGACACCGTGCTCCGTGTCCTGCAGCGAAGGGTTCCACAAGCGCGAGCGCGTCTGTCGCGACCCGGCCAATCCGACCAAGGTCCTGCCAGACGACACATGTGGCGGCTTCAGCTCGGAGACGGAGGTGTGCTACGCCGGAAAGGAATGTCCCTGTAAGCACGCTGCTTCCTGTATAGCCCGGCTGCGATGTCCCGCTGGCGTTGCTATTTGTCACGTAATCACTGAATGTATTCATCACCTCCCTTTACTAGTATTCTTTATTTGATAATAAAGAAGATTCTTTGTTAAAGGTGCCCTGCCTCGAATTTTCAAACGGCAAACATAAAATCAGGAAAAAATGAATTCATTTAACATTGAACGTTTGTACTTGCCTATATATGTGTGATAGGTAACAAATTGCTCAGGAATACGTTCATTCAAAGCTTTTAGACTACAAAATGAAAGTGTCGGATCGAATGTTTCAAACAGCGTTTACTTTTGCCGCTCTGCGGCGATGTAATTGTGACGCGTCTCTTGTTGCTATGCGGCCCCCTGTACTGCCAAGCGCTGAAGGTCACGAAGGCAGCATGTGCTCATAGATATATCCTATAACACATGTGTTATATCAGGCCTGGTTATATGGCTGTACTGGTTACCTGCGTCGACTCTTGCCGCCATGATACAGAACCGCGGCGAAACGCGTTTTTCGAATTGTTTTTCGTTGAGCGAATATAGGCTTGATACATATTTTTACAGTTTTATTTTCAAAGCTAACGTTCAGTTAAAGTGTAGTGAGTTATTTACTTACGTTTTTACAGTGGTTTGTCCCAAAAATGTTTGCGGAAATGCATCTTTAATTCGTGTATTTATTTGATAATAATTAGAGCAACTTATCTAGAATACATAGTTAGGAGCGCAGAAAGCTGACTCGTACATGTGCTCTTAATGTTTCTTAACTTTGTTGTAGTATTGTTGTTAGAATTATATATATTTCATAGTATCATTATATTATCATAATGATATGTATTTAAAAATGGTTTCTTTACGAAACATGACTTCAACAAACACCGAGATCGTCAAAGCGTTAATCCGTTCATCGTAATCAAATTCATCAGATTGGACACACTGGACTAGCTGGTCCTACTGCACCACCTTCAACACGTGCGGAGAAGGCATCTGCAGTCGTGAGAGAAGGTGCACGAATGACGGCATCATCGACACCGACCCTAACTGCAAAGGTAGACAGGAGCAAGAGACGCAGTGCAAGGCCGTGGATTGCTTTAGTAAGTTGCAGAGTTGAGGGTCGGATGTCGTGGGGACGCATTGCATTATACCGGCATTCGCGATTCGTTTCACCAAATGATTTAACTAACCACGTCAACGCCAACGTGCTGCCATGGTTATACCTACAGTAATTAGAAGCATCATCCGTTTAACTATAAATGTTGATGTAGATATTGTTACAGAACTCTGTTCGCTTGGCACCGGGGATGGGCATTTGCCTCGAAGATCCTAACACGTAGTCAAAAATAACACTTGACATATATATATGTATAATCTGTATATATGTCATATAACATATATGACGTATATAACTATATGTAACATATAGTCAGATGATCACGTAGCTTTAGTTACACACACGTTATTAGTAAGAGGGAGAAGTCACATAGATACTCCACAGCGTTATAAGGTAAGAATACGTAGATAATAGTATAATGTAGAGATACGTAGATAACAGTATAATGTAGAGATACGTAGATAATAGTACAATGTATATACGTAGATAATAGTACAATGTATAGATACGTAGATAATAGTATAATGTAGAGATACGTAGATAATAGTATAATGTAGAGATACGTAGATAATAATATCATGTAGAAATACGTAGATAATAGTATAATGTATAGATGCGTAGATAATAATATAATGTAGAGATACGTAGAGGGCTCATAGCTGCGAACATTCGTTCATTAACACGCACAGATTTATGTCGCGTGCATGTCACACAAGGTATTAGGAAGATTATTCAAGGTATATTTCGGGTTTATGTCACGTCGACGTCACACGCAGGTCCCGTGAGACTGAGCAGTGACACACAGCTGTACGGCGAGGGACGCGTGGAGGTCTACGACAGCATCGTCGGTGACTGGGGCAAGGTGTGCAGCAACGGCTGGGACTCGGCCGACGCCAACGTCATCTGCAGGCAGTTTGGCTTCCCTGGTGAAGCCGAGGGTAAGCAGAGAGAGGCAGCGCGTCTTCACACTGCAAACATGTAGCGCGCGTCTGGCCCGGACTTGTTTGATGTGGGATCAAATTTGCAGTCGGTACGGGGTGTTCTTTTCAAACCCAGCTGTTGGGCTTGCCGGATGGGAAAAAACATTTCACATTCATTATATTCACGTATCATGTTCTACTATGATTCTGTTCCAAAACGTCATGGATATCATTGTGTATCTATATAATATTCTATACAGCCAACTCTCGCAATATCGCCCAGCCTCGGGACCGTCCATTTAGTTCGGTTTTCCGTAAAGTTAGGGTTATAAAAGGGAATCTTTCACGTCTCAGATGGTATCAGGACTTGAAAAATCGTCCGGTTTAACGTGACATTCGCTTCGGAATTTGAAGAGTTGACTGTATAAGAGTTTGAAGAGTTGACTGTATCGATATTTGATTTGATATCTGAGAATTTGATTTTGATTTGATTTTTGAGATATTTGATTTTTGAGATATTTGATTTGATATCTGAGAATTTGAAGAGTTGACTGTATCGATATTGATTTTTGATTTTTGAGTATTGATTTTTGAGATATTTGATTTGATATCTGAGAATTTGAAGAGTTGACTGTATCGATATTTCGATCGAGGAATTCCTGACTATATGTCTCCGTACGGAGTTTTAGCGAAAGCCGTAAAAATATAACAATTACTACGTGCGGAATATTATGTTTTTTCCCCCGCAGTGTTCATTGAGTATGGAGAGGGCATTACTCCTTACATCATGGAGGGTGTCAACTGCAAGGGAGACGAGTGGACTATACAGAGCTGCGAACACAACGGTTGGCGCATAGCTTCTTGCATCAACGGCACAGCGGTTGGAGTCAAGTGCAAGGGTAAAGTTCATTACTAATATTTCCTGGTGACAACGGAGAGTAATCTCCTTGTTTTCCATCAAATTTCACTTGTTCAGCTCCAGGGAAAATGACGCGATTCGCATAACTGACCGTTTCGGAGTGTAATCGCTAAAACTTATCGCGCATTTACTCGTGTGATTTGGTGTTAGTATGCCACACGTTAATTAAATGTATAATTACCTAACCATATTTCTACTAACTAAACGTACATATATCAAGTACGTGTTTATTTACATGCCCAAAGAAGCTGATGTAAAATTATCACGTTAGTTAGTATACACTCATCGCGAGGGATAGTAATCAATGATTCATTAAGTACGAATAAAAGACGATTCCGTACATAGCGTAACGAGTACGCGACATTTGATTGTGACAAGCATGCGACATTTGATTGTGACAAGCATGCGACACTCTGCGTTGACAGTTAACGGCGGCTGGGGCACGTGGGGAGAGTGGGGCGCCTGCTCGGTGACATGCGACAACGGCACGTCGGTGCGCAAGCGAGAGTGCGACAATCCGCCACCAATGCGCGGTGGCGCTACCTGTGAGGGATCAAGCAAGGAGGAGAGACCGTGCGTTGGCTTCAAATGCGCATGTGAGTCGTATTCGACGGTCTTACATATTCTTTACTGATGGGATTTATTCAAACATTTGCGAGATCATGTCGGCACGCATTACGCTCGTACGTAGGGCCACCTGCTATCATTAATTAAGACTAATTATGATTAATTAGGGTTAACTAATACAAATATAGGGTTAATTAGGTTAGTTAATACACAATACGGAATTGCGTCACAGCTTTCTTAGCGGTGCGTTGCCCACGACAAGGGTTTTGCTCGCGGGGAAGTATCCTAGAGTTTTTCTCCATCGCTCCATTTAACATGAACTTGTTACCAACTCTAGCTCTTTCTCCCCGGACACACGTACTCAATCTACTCTTACTATATAATTTTATTGACTTTACTATATATTATACTAATACTCTTATATACTGTACTACAATTATACTATACTCTACATAATATATCTATCATATACTTTACTATATATTCACTTTACTATATTCTTACTATCTATGATAACCCTTTCTCTCTGCGGAGACGTGGACCTAACCAAGCTCCCGTCCTTTCCGCGAGCGCACAACGATGTGAAGTCTAAGCTCGCCTTGGTTTCTCCCCACCAGGGTGGTCCGACTGGGAAGACTGGAGCGAGTGCAGCGCCACCTGTGGCGGCGGCGGGCGAAACCGCAGCCGGACGTGCAACGGCGTTGTCAAGGACTGCAAGGGCAACTACACGGAGATACAGGAATGCAACACTCACTTCTGCCCCGGTAAGAGTGGAGCAGCACTCAGCAGGCCAGCCGTTGTCGTCTCTAGACACGTTGGCTGTTGTGGCTCTCAGTGGCGCGTGTATGCGTGCGCGTGCGTGCGTTTGCGTGCAGTGCGTAGTTCTAGCGAGCGGAATGATCGTCTACACGCGCGCGTGTATACTGCGCGCGCGTGTAGACGTATCGGCCATCTTGTTCTGCGGATCTCCTCCTGGTAATCAGAGATTGGTCACCCGCTGGTTGCCGGTAGAGTGATGGCGAGCGGCAGAGGTGGCGGTCTCTGGTGCACAGGAGCTGTCGCCGCGCAGCGTGGCTCCGTGTTGTGAGAATTCTTCTGTTGTTGAGAGTGATTCTTCTGTTTCTTCTCGTGTCGTTCTTCTTCACACACCTCGATCGTGTCTTTCTACACGTCATCGCTCTGTTTACGAGCGTGTGCCTGTGTGTGTGTGTGCGTGTTTACATGTGACTGATCAGCCGACCATTCGTCTGTCCGTTTCGCCAGAGCGCGCCCGCAGAGAGGGCAACTGGACGATTGCGAACAAATAAATGCTTGGCTTCAGTGCTGTCTGTTGATGCGGCCATTAGTTCGTCGGTCGACCTCACCTTTCTGACATTACAGTCGGGCACCCCATTTACGTCTGTCTTCATCCTCTCTCTCTCTTTATTGTTCACACTTCTTCTCTACATTCTCTTTCATCTTTCCATTCGCGCGGTCATGTCAAGGGCAAGGATTTTCATGAGCTAATGTTTCAGGACGTTGCTGCGAGCAAATCCTTGCGCGTTTGCGAACGCGTGAATGTTCGGCCCCGTGTGTGGTGTTGGCATGCGCTGTGGTTTCCCCCTTCCCCTACCCCTCCCCCTGGTGGCATCCGCCCGCAACGGGGGATGTCCACGACATTGTCTTATCCATGTGTTTCGACTAGTTGTACGTGGTGGCGATTCCGCCGCAATGGCGGAGTGGCACGTCGGTCGTTTGGTTGGAACAGGATCCAACGTCGCAAAATGTCGGACACATAGGACGTCGGTCACGCAGCGACGTCGGTTTTGGCGACGAAGCGTGTTGGTCGCAAGGCCGACCGGTAGGATTGTTACTCAACCGGTGAGTACTTGCGTGTGTCGCATGTGCCGTACTACACCACGCACCAATGACACGCGTGCAACCTTTGCACACTCCAATCACACACAACCCGCTGTGACAATCATCATTTGATCGTGATGAAAAAGATGTTCTTTACAACAGATGTATGATTGTTTGGAATTTGCTTTCCACATTTGAAAATTTTTACCACGAGAAATCGCAGCAGTACAATAATTTATAGCATTAAAAAATGATTAATTAAAATGTATAGTATATAGTATAAATGTATACATATATGTATATCCACTGATGATGAATATCACTCGAGGAATGCTATATCACTGAAGAAATTTAAGCCTATACGGTCATTAGAAACTTTATGCTGGCTTTAACTCCTATTTGCTGTGGCACGACAAACCCAAGACATAATAAACAAATCCTAGTTAAGCAAGAGAGATTGTTCTCTTGTTCTCAAACTTTATGCATGCGAGCGGGTGCTGCGACTACTGCTGCGCTATACGTAAAAGTGTGATTGCCTGCATGCAACTGGTACCAAACGTACCTAATGTTTGATGCACAGTGGAGATGCACAGGCAAGAAGAGTGTTTTCACTTCTTTAGTTGAGAGTGCTGCCCACCTCTCCACCTGTGTGGCGTCTTTCCTTGCTGTGCCTCGCCTCCTCACATGACTGCTCGTCACTTTATACTCGAGAATTACATGCGTTAAATAACACATGTCTAATTCATGAATAGATACGTTTTAAGTTGATGCCTGCCAAAAGTCTACTACTAGTACGAATTATCTTTTCTATTTATCTTTTCCATTCTTCGTACAGTTTATCGGTTATGTAATGCAACGATCGCATAGCATTGATATCCTTCGCATGGGAACATCTAGATTCCAGCTGAACCCACTCACTAATAATATTCTTTGCTGGAAGTTGAATGCACGGACGATGAGAAATTAAGCCATCGCCGGATTACGGCTGCGAAATTCCTCGAAAATAGCTTGACAAAACCGCCAAATCCTAATTGCGATGCGCAAGATAAAATTGTTCAACTCCTACTCTAAGACTATTTCTATACGGCAGTCTTTCAACCGACGGCTAAATTGGCAATTTCTCACATACGAGACGCGACGCACAGGCAAACGCTTGCTATGCCGAAACTTCAGCTATACTTCAAAAATACTTCAAAACGTCAAAAATACGTCGAAATTAACTCAAAAAATGTCAAATACGCGAGCATTTTGGACATAAATAAGACGTCGTCGTCTAAGACGAAGCCCGCCCTTCATCCGGCTGTGCTCTCTTTCACGTCCCGTGCATGTTTTGCGAGACACCTGGAGCTCGCCTCTCGCTGCTCTCTCGTCGGGAAAGCGAGCAGAGAGAGAGAGAGGAGAGAGAGAGAGAGAGAGATAGGAGAGAGAGAGAGAGAGAGATAGAGAGAGAGAGAGAAGAGAGAGAGAGAGAGATAGAGAGAGAGAGAGAGGAGAGAGAGAGAGAGAGAGAGAGAGAAGAGAGAGAGAGAGATAGAAAGAGAGAGAGAGAGAAAAAGATAGAGAGAGAAAGGGAGAGAGAGAGAGAGATGGAGAGAGAGAGAGAGAGAGAGAGAGAGAGAGAGAGAGAGAGAGAGAGAGAGAGAGAGAGAGAGAGAGAGAGAGGGAGAGGAGAGAGAGAGAGGAGAGAGAGAGAGAGAGAGAGAGTTTTTGAGAGAAGGGGGGGGGAGACGCCGATGCGAGCGACAGAGAGGCGCGTGGCAGTCTGTCAGTGCGGTCTCTCCGTTGAGTTGCGTGAGAATCCTTGCCCACCATCGCGTACGTTTGCGCCGTCACCTCTCACCATTGATAAATCATTGGTCTCCCCACCGCACCCGCCCGCGCCTGCGTCACTACACACACTCTCGTCACATCGGATCGAAGAGCGGGCTTCGCGTACGTACGATGCGCGTGTGCGAAATAAATTACGATACGATACGATATGATACGATACACTGCTTATGCCTCGAAATTCGCACGCGGGTCGTACACGGGCGCGCGCTCTCTGATCGGGCATCTGAGTCGAGTCTCTCTGAATGGCGGGCATTGCGCCACGCCGGCAGTCAGTCGCGAGATTCGACTGGCTAATGAGAACTCGCTGAGACACCCTGACCGCATCCCCGTCACACGCTGCGATCACCTCACACGTCACGCATCACATAGGCCATCGCAAGAGTAGTGACGTCACGCATCACATAGGTCATCGCAAGAGTAGTGACGTCACGCATCACATAGGCCATCACAAGAGTAGTGACGTCACGCATATCGGCTAGAATCGAATTGTCATTCACCATTAACGAATTTTTCCCCGATGATAGCCATGCGCACGTTGACAATCGTATCACATGTAACTGTCGTTCGATTATCAGAATTCATATCGTCGATAAATCCATCAGACTTGAGCTAGATCGCATATCACGGTGATGGAAAAATGCCTCCACGTCATTCGTGACTGGTGGGCCACCCATACAATCATTGATCAAACTTCATACTCTATAATTCTTATTTTTACCATTGGTATTTTTTCTTCAATTTTCTCTTTTCGTGGTTGTGGAACAAATCAGGTGAGCTACGTTTATTTATAGCACTCATAGTACACGACGCTCGGTTATATAAGGTAGATATTGTACCACTAAATATCCACATAAACTTATATCTGAAAATGGATATTCTGTCAGTTTTATAACCGGTTGGACTATGCTTACGAAATACAGCATTTTTTCTCTATTAATGTCTTTGGAGTTACACGGTAATTTTACAGTATCGCACAATAACCAATTACTTTTACATAGCAGCGAACGCGCGCTCGGGTATAACGTGTTTAATGAAGTATAATATTATTGTCGTGACGTGCTATGACGTATCACATTACTGGTCGTCACGTTCGCTGAAAAATCACGTGATTGTTCGTCGCATTCCTTGGCGTACCACGTCGTAGGTCTTCACATGTGCTCACGCATCACGTCTCTCTTTGCAGTCGATGGAATATGGAGCACCTGGCTGGACTGGATGGAATGCAACGCGAGCTGCAACGGCGGCGTGCACATGCGCAAGCGCGATTGCGTCGGTCCGTTCTACAGCGGAAAGAACTGCACGGGAACGAACATGGACCTAGCCAAATGCAACACGCACTCCTGCCCGGGTAAGTGCCGCCAGTTTGGTAATAGTGTAGAAGGTATATACGGATGAGGACTTTGATTTCAGACAAGCTTTGGACAACCGCTCAGAACGGATAATAGTACAAACCTCTGTACCGCTATGGATTGCCAATATACACATGCGAAAAACGAGTACAATGCGATACGATACGATACTATACGTTACGAAACGGTGGGATAACAATATAAACGGTGAACTGGCGCTGTCCTTGTGTTTACTCAGTATGCATTATCCTGTATACACCCATCAACCGACTTAAATAAATATCCAGTGCTACAAATTCTGCCTAGTGAGACTTCTAGATAATAACAACAACACACTTATACATGCAATAACGAACCCTGATTCAATGACATAACTATATTATACAAAATTTATGTAATTAATATGCATATAATTCCGTACGTAGGTTTTTTTATTATATGTTATGCTTTTTCGCTGCATCTATTATAAAAAAGACTTATAGTTTTGATGGTGGCCTAGCTCGGCCACGAAACGTTTAAATTAAAACTTTCCTTGTAGGTACCTAATTTAAGCATTTCAAGTCAAAGGTCACCAATTAATTTAACCATAGAAATATCCCAAAATAATACGAGCAAATATATGACGTAATTTCCGGGTTTCGTCAGTCGATGGCATTTGGAAGGATTGGCAGGATTGGCGCGCTTGCCACGCCACTTGCGGCGGAGCGCTGCAGTTCCGCTCTCGCCACTGCAGAACACCCAAATATGGCGGCCGCGACTGCATTGGTCTGTCGCAAGAAGTGCGAGCCTGCAACGAGGAACCTTGTCCAGGTGGGGGTGTGAGCTGTAGCCAGGCGGGCTCTCTTCTTGGCAGATGCAGCGGGTGACGTAGTGGCAGCCTGTACGGAAAGTAACGCACGAAGTTCGCGCGAATTCCTCCGATTTATTCTGCCAGGGACGCCTGTGTCTCTCCCCGCTGCATCCACCATTGAGAGACTTCGTGCTCCAGCGCTGACTCCAAGGCTGCAGCTGCTGCTGGTCGCCACCGCAGGAGTGCACGCTCATTTGTTGACGGCACAGGCGCAGCGCCGCACAGCATGGCGGTTATAGGTGGCGCACTGCGAACACGCTCTTTTCTTCGTAGAGAACTAGAGGACATATTGTTGCTCTTTCTATTCTGATATCGGCTGCTATGCCCTCGATTTCTGTTCGTGTCTAGTTTTTCTCTGAGACTGTGTAGTGCTAAGGAGTCTCCCGTCTCTCTGTCTGCTGTCTCTTTATCTCTCTCTCTCTCTCTCTCTCTCTCTCTCTCTCTCTCTCTCTCTCTCTCTCTCTCTCTCTCTCTCTCTCTCTCTCTCTCTCTTTCTCTCTCTCGATTTATCCGAGAGCTATCTATAACTGTAGATTTGCATTGTTTGTCACTGCCTGTTATATACTATATTATTACTTATTTGTTCAGCTATATTGTGTTGCTGTGTTATAGTATATAGTGTAACGTCTATAGTTACTATATGTTCGTACGTGTGTCAGTACTGTGTGTCAGTACGTACAGATTCAGGCGTGTGTCAGTACTGCACTGCTATTACACTATACGCACATTATCTCCTTACTCTCGTCTATTTATATCTACCGTACACGTGTGTATATTTGCATAGTCATGTATGTGTATATTGTAAAGAAATATTAACGTAATCCTTCTATCTACGTGTGTTATACCTTACAGTGTATCCTTGAATAATCTAATTGTGTTGTGCCACGTGTCAGTGTCTGTATCTATATCACGTAAATATTAGTACATGTAAACTCTTGATATAATCTCGAACTTTTTTTCGAGTATGTTATTATCATGAGTGCGTCCTAAACTAAATGCACTCGGGTGACCCTTCCCCCGTTGCTGCCTGCCGACAGCAGGCATTTACAATTGCCGTTACGCTGTTTGAATATAACGCAGTTCAGCGTTCATATTCTAGAACTATAAGACTATATATGCGAAGCCGATTGTGAAAATAACAGTGGAATTCATGGGTGACCGTTTTGAGAAACAAAATTGGTCTTAGCAATAATTTTAGCATAAACTTGTTCTCGTAGACTGGACCGCTATATCCTACACTTCGTATACGAAACTCGTAACACTACGATGTTCGTGTTAGCGGTCTATGAGAAGAAGTCAATGTTAAAACTAATGTTAAGACTAACTTAGTTTCTGACTCGTCGTGACTGATTCTATTCCTGTCAACGGGCCCCAGTATTTTATCCACGCCACCCGCAATCAAATCTAATCAAAATCGAAATAAAATATCAAAAAATAAAATATCAAAAAATAAAATATCAAATCAAAGGCTAAACTGACGAGCAAGCTCTCACCCACGTTAGGAGAAGTGGCAAGCGTTATAGCCTTATAGGGGGGACGGGTCACCCTCATGCATACCCTCCCCCTCTTCGTGCTTTCTGTTAATACTCGCACGTACCCTCGACGTGCTCCGCTCCCCGTCTCCTGCTTTCCGCTAAGACCCAGCTTGACGTTACACAAGACGCAGGCAACGAGGCGTGGCTGCTGGAATTCAGCTCGTGGGCGCCGTGGACGGCGTGTAACACGAGCTGCGGCGGCGGCTCTCAGGTGCGCAGCCGAGCCTGCAGCATCCCCTTCGCGATGCGAAATACTACACGCAACTGCACGGGCCTGTTCGTCGAGCAGCGCGCCTGCAACGACGAGTACTGCCCAGGTAACCATAGCGACGCGTCCCCATTCTCAATCCGTTTACCCTCTAAGAACCCCGCGTCGCATGAGCGAAACCTGACCCCCGTTCTCTTTATATTTCCAATGAGCGAGAGTTAACTCGAAAAAACTTCAAGAGACATTAAGTACCCGTTCGCTTTATATCCTCGATAATTTACATGTAAAATTCTCGCAGTCGTCGTTAATCAAAGTCTACTTCGCGCTACAATCGCCCGCTAGCAAGCGATTCCAGACAATAATACTCCCCATCCGCCGCTGCAACACACACCATTATATCCCCCGCATGTCTGGATTACCCTCTTACCGGCTTCCATTTTCCCCCCGCTTCGATTGCTCGTACGCATGCGCAGTGGACGGCAGCTGGGTGACGTGGAATCCGTGGCAGGCGTGTAACAGGACGTGTGGCGGCGGCCGGCGGCTGCGCACGCGCCTCTGCTACGCTCCCATGTACAACGGCGCTGACTGCGTGGGCGACAACACCGATTCGGAGTCGTGCAACGAGCACGCGTGTCCAGGTACCCACCAGATCTCCACCTTCTCGTAAACGTCGCTTGACCTCTCTTCAATGGCAGTTGATATTAATTGTAGGGGGTTAGATTTCCGTATATAGTTTTCATTATATAGCTCCCATATTTTTCTTATATAGTTTCTGTACTTCGAGGTAATCTTTTACGACACGATTGCGTGCGTATAATTGCTCTCTCGCCTTTACTATTTCCCTTCCCTCCTTCCTTCCTTCCTTCCTTCCTTCCTTCCTTCCTTCCTTCCTTCCTTCTTCCTTCTTTCTTTCTTTTCTTTCTTTCTTCTTTCTTCTTTCTTTATTTTCTTTTTTCTTTTTTTTCTTTCTTTTCCTTCTTCCTTCTTTCCTCCTTCCTTCCTTCCTTCTTTCCTCTCTTCCCTCCTCCCTTCCCTTCCCCGAAGTTACTATTTCCCTTCCCTCGCGCCACTGCCTGTATTATCGTCAACCGTACGATCATATGCGTTTGTGATGGTTATTACATGGCGCACCCGTGTTCTCCTGTTATCCCCATGCCTTGTTTGCACTCTACCCCAATGCTTCTGCAGTATCGCATTCACTTTCCCACATTTCCATCAACTTCCGCTGCATTCTCAGGAAATCCCTGCATTAATGCCTTCATCTTTATAATCCTCATTTCTCCCTCGATACCTTTTACTACTACGCTTTTTACTTGACCGATCTACATTATTGCTTCTCTTCTTCCCTCCCTTTCTCTGTCTCTCTTTCTCTCCCTCTCTCTCCCTCGCTCTCTTTCCCCCTCTCTCTTTCTCTCTCTCTCCTCTCTCTTTCTCTCTCTCTCTCTATTTCCTCTCTCTCTCTTTCTCTCTCTCTCTCTCTCTCTCTCTCTCCCTCTCTCTCTCTCGCTCTCTTTCTCCCTCTTTCTCTCTCTCCTCTCTCTTTCTCTCTTTCTCTCTCTCTCTCTCTCTCTCGCTCGCATCCTTCTGGCCTCATCTCCTCTCTGCGACGCTGTGACCGGCGCGCCGTCTGCCGGCAGATGCGGGCACGTGGAGAGAGTGGGAGTCGTGGTCACCGTGTACGGTCAGCTGCGGACGCGGTCACAGACACAGGAGTCGAGGCTGCAACGGCGCCGGCGACGGCATCCAGTGTCCGGGAGAGACGTACGAGTCGCAGCCGTGCCGCAAGAGAGCGTGTCCGCAGCCGCCGCCGCTAGGAACCGCTGTGCGCCGCTAGGTACCGCTATGTATGCGCAGCGTCAAGCGCTCGTCTGCGGGGACGCGTTGAGACGCTCGCCGTTGTTTGAGAAATTTGCACGGTTCCTTCTACTAGTAGGACGGTTTCCTTCCGCTGCAGAGGAAACCGGTTTCCTCCGAGTGCAAGGGTTCCTCTTTAAAGCGCTCGGCGTATCTGTTTATCGCTTCTTTTCGCTGGTTTCGATTCGCGAGACTATACGTATATGTATATATATATATCGCATTCTGCTCTAACCTGTCTCTTTTTATTGAAGTTGATCTTATCTCGTTGATAACACTAATATGTTTTCTTATCAACAAACTCTATGCGTCTTTCATGTGCCTCTCGTTCTATATTCATATAACGTTACCTGTGACTGTCTACATATAAAGTATGACCAGCGGTATCGCTGCGTTTGCCGTCTATCTATTTTCGTTGTACGTGTTTTGTCCGTGGATTAATTGTGTGCACGTGCTGTTTTCTTGAAGGTCACCAGTGAAGGTCAACTGATGCGCGAAAGGGACTCACGGGCGCATCAGTTGCTGGAAACGCGAGCGACAATCTATGGCGTAAAAATAGCAAACGAAGCGACATCTAGCGCGCGAAATAAGACGTATAACTAGCGAAGCGACGTCTAGCGAGCGACGTGTTACGTGTAGAGTGCGCAGTGACATCTATCGAGCGAAATAATGATATAATGATTGGTCGCCATCGCGCACTTATCAAAATACTTTATGCCTTCTACGCTCGCCACCAAGCACGAAATTGGCTTAATGCATGCGCTTATTCCTCATTAAAACTCGATATGTGGCAGGTATTTGCCTCATCCATGTTTATCTACATCGCCCAGGTGTGACTAGTTCACACCGTATGGTGGGATGCTGGAGCCGTTCTTCTACCATAACCCTTAAATTCGCTCTCATGCTTAATGCTATATATATATATATATATACCGGCTTTGCTGCGGTGTCTTATGTGTCGCAAACCCTTACGGAGTTTCGCATTTGCCCCCTTTTCGTACAAATGTTTGCAGAGTAGAATAAGACCCGGTGAGTTATACCCACACACCTATAGCACGTCGCCCACCGAGCAGCACAACTGTGATCTAAGCCCGAGTAACTGCTAAGTGGTTACCTATATATTCACATAAATAGTTTATCACGTAAATTTTATTAGAGAGGCACATTTGACGTGGATGGACGCCATCCGAAATATTCACCGGCGCTATAAAATGGCTAGGTCCCGTGTGAGCTAAGAATCCCAATATAAAAGTCTTTATCCTAAAGTAATGTAAAAGTAAAAGTAAAGTAAAGTTAAGTAAGTAAAGTAAAAGCTTAAAGTAATGGCTGAAAACGAAATATATAACTCCGAAGGAATAGGAAGAATTATAGATGGCTCAAAATGTAAAGTTCGTGTTAATTTAATTTTTGACCAGACACAAAAGTTATGTGATTGTATCTGTACATACTGGAGTTTCTTGGATAGAGTTGAGGAGTACGATATAGTAATTGACCATGAAATATTAACGGCAACATCTACCCTAGTTTTACAGTTGATGCTCTACTCATAACCGATTTTAGAACACGTTTACAGATATTTAAAAGCCTAAGAAATAACGTGACCTATTCACTTTAACAGCTTATGTTTTACATTCTATTCTGCACTTCATCAGCATCAGCACATGTTTATCTATTGTGATTTTACACTAGCATATTTATTGGAAATCGAATTCGGAAAGAAATTTTACCATCTAATCAGCATTATCGGGATTTGAAACATGGCCCGCGGTAATTCGCTACTGCCAATCCTGACTTTATCAAGTTCAGAAATGGACATATTGATCCCCAGGTTTATTCCAAAATGTTCACAGTTAATTAATAACCGCTCATGATAAACGAAAATTGTAATAAACAAATAATTTGGCAACTCAAAATGCTTGTACTTATACCTTTATATTTAGGGAAATGAATTTTCAACGTTTGTCGCGAACGAACGTTTAACGAACGAATTGTTTAAGGCGATGTTTGATTTGAATTTAATCCACCTTACGATATACCTTTACGTAGTTGTCTGCCCTTTGAATATAATAGGAAACGTTATAACTCATTATTTAAGTAGTAGATATAACAACAAGAAACTAAATAAAATACATCTGGTACCACTGAAATTATGGCCATTGTACATCGCAGAACATCACAAACCATACTTACCACCGTAATAAATATAATCCGCTTCCGAATTAATAAAACAACAACACGAACATTATGCTACACATATACCCACGCGGTAAGCATCCGGAACCGCATAGATTCCATACTATGATAGTACTGATGTTGATTTCTATGTAACGGCAATATTAAGAGGAAGACCAGTGAAATCGTTGGCAACAGAAGAGGTACGGTTTTTTCTATCTACTTTAATATTACTCGGCTTTGTGAATATGAATCTGAATTTTTATTGGCTAATTTTTCGCTTGTATATTCCGAAGGCAATCCTTAAACATAATAATATATCATGTGATTTTGGATACATAATATATTGTCTTGCCTCGTATCGTGGTACGCTACTACACGACTTGTGAGTTTTATTAGAACTAGTTCCTACAGGGTCAATAAAGATGGCATCGTTGATGAGTGATACGTTTGGCTAAGATCGCAGTTGCCTCATGTTGCTGCACGTGGTATTTGCGAGCTTAGCAAATGTGACGACATTTACATTCAATATCCTGCCCGATATCAGATTCCACAGTCTATTGGATGCTGCGTAGCGAAAGAAATCCTTGATGAATCGCACTGACACGACATCTTTGATAATTCGCACTGACACCTTCCCGTTTGCTTCTACAGAAGATGGTTACTGGCTCGCCTGGCAACCGTGGACACCGTGTAGTGTCAGCTGCGGCTGGGGAAACCACACACGCAGCCGCCATTGCGTCGGTCCCTACCACGGTGGCGACCCCTGTAATGGTACGGAGGACGATGGGCGCTCCTGCCACGAGCGCGAATGCCCCGGTACGTGTATGATATGCGGATCTCTTCTCATATCACGATCTGTGTAACAGCTGAATGCTTGTGTACTCATATATATATACTGTTGGCTATTAGCGGGAAATGCGCTGACGATTGAGAGATGCGTGCGACCGCGTGAGCAGTGGGAATGCTGCATGGCACGCTGTGACGGGAGGTGTCGCTATCTTACCTAGCTTGTTAAATAGTGTTAATATACGTTAATTATGCGGTAATTACTATGGCGTCACTTGCTCTTCTAATGTCGTTGCTTCTGGACCATAAGAGTAGTCTAATCTTCTTGAATGGGGTCATTGCGCGTGGCGTGATGAGAATATCAGAGGGAAGATACATCACGTGGATTTTATTTTTGTTTTATCGATCATATTATCTTTGTAAATGCTATAGAATATGTTATGAAAATTAAATAGTACTTTACCAAGGGTACCATGCTTGTCTTTACAACAGAGGCAGCAAATTTAATGGTTGTAACTTTAAACACAAGTTTAACCTTTTTATCTCTCAAATTCGTAGTGAAGAAATTTGTTTATCGCGGATTTGTAAAGACATGCGTTCGGATATTTCGTAAAAAAAATCCTTGCTCTTGCCTGTAGTTTGCAATGGTTACGGATCAGCGTGCTTTGCCGTGCGGTACTGAGCTATGCCGTGCGGTACTGGGCGGTGCTGTGCTGTGCTGTGCTGTGCTATGTTCAGCTTTGCAGTGAAAACGGGTAGTAGACACCATGTAATCGTGTGTCTGTGTGTCACTGTGTGTGTGTATTAGGGGAAGGTGTACGGACTGCATGTGTCCATGTGTCCGCACGTCCATGTGTCTTCTGTCCTAAGACTACTACAGCGCGAACGTGTGCACGTTCGTGCTTCGCCAAATTCTCTGTTAATATCAGGCTCGACCACCTTGCCATTCCGTCTACGCCTTTAACACTAGGTGGCGATCGAATCGCTGTGCGTGCGATGGACATTGCGTACCTCCAGCAGCCTTCTAAGTGTGCGATGCGTACCTCACACATTTTTCTAAGCGTGCGATGCGTATCTCATGCAGCTTTCCAATTATAGTCGACGGGTTCTGGCAAGAGTGGTCCGACTGGGTCTCATGCAACGTCACCTGTGGCGGCGGCCAGCAGACGAGAGTGCGAGAGTGCCAGGCGCCGCTACACGATGGCATAGACTGTGGCGGCGACGCCGAACAAGAGCGCAGCTGTAACGACCAGCCATGTCCAAGTAGGTGACGCCACCTATATGTATATATAATATATGTGCGTATATGTATTACCTATGTTACTTCCATTAATCCATCGTAATCTCGGACTACTGAAACATGGGCATAGACCCATGATTTGTGGTGATAGCATGAAGAGTAGCGAAGATATCAAATAAACTCGATTTATCGTAAATGGGGACGCCATTTTGTCAATGTAACCGCCATATTGTACACGGAGATAGTGGCTCCTATTAAAAACTGAACGCTACGGCAATGAGTAGCACGTGGAGAAATGTCAGCTTCGCCAGCTGACCATGTATGATCTCTATGGTTTAGTCAATACCACGATGCAACGATGCAATGACAAAATTGGTTAACCATATGACATACCACCATACGATACACCACCACCACCACACCACCACACTACCACACGATAAATCTTTACATAGTTTGCTGCTGCAGATAGCATACGTGTAATACGTTTAAACGCTTTATAACTACAATTAGAATTACTGTTCAATTGTTACAGTCGACGGCGAGTTAGAAGAATGGTCGGACTGGAGCGAGTGTACTGTCACCTGCGGCGGAGGAATACAAAATAGATCCAGGTCGTGCGTCGGCCCATTCTATGGCGGCCTCGAATGCCTTGCCGCTCTATCAGAAACGCAAAAATGTAGAGAGAATTATTGTCCAAGTAAGCCGCAGCGCAGGTGTAGTGATGGCCTCTCGTGGATCCCTTTGCTGTCACTGTGAACGTAATCTAACATTTTCTAAGTAGTTTTAATCCTAAATGAGATCACGTGTGAGAGATGCGAATCGGTATAGGCCGCAACGGTTGCTGATAGGTCGTCATCAAACAATCTCTCTTTACCCTTTTTTCATAGATCAGATCTCGTTATAATCATCCACTTATCGTTTCTCTGCTGCTATACGTGATTTCAATCGTCGTCATCTCACCTTTAACACGCACTTTTCCGTGCTTAGTTGTGTATACACGCGTGGATAAGGACAACTCTTCCGAAACCACGCTGAAATCCTTATATGTTCCACCAGACAAGCACACGGTATATTTTGTTTCTACGATTATTGTAGGCGTTCGCACATGTGATTCCACCGCCAGGCGTCACTCTATGGCATTGAGACAGAGCTGACCGTGCAGCTACTTTGTGGAGCGAGCACCCGTGTGTCAGGCTTTACTGCCTATCGACACAAGGCAATTCTCTACTCCGTGTTCTTCGTCCCGCAAAATATACGTGTATGCTGTGCGTGATCTAGTATTAAATCATTCTAACGCTGCTGTCTTTGTGTGTCTGATATAACACTACTCGCCTTGTATAAATAACACTTCTAATCTATCCATTTGCCGTGAGCGATTCGTGTGTAGAGTGTGCAGTTGACCTGTAAGTGCGTTGTGTGCACGCGTGCGTGTGTGGGTGCGCGCGGCGCGCGTGACTGCGTATAGTGGAAATAAGTTGTATACTAATTTACGCTGGTTGGCGCACGCGCGAATGGTTCGCATAATCAGAGACCTTCTAACAGAGACCTCTCAATTTCTTTTTCGTCTAATAAAACACGATTTCTCTTTTGGGTGGAGGGAGGGCTAAAAGGTAGTAATTCCATTACCGCAGTCGAGTTAAATGTTGCCATGGCTACGTTATCGCCGGCTCTGGGCTACTCACTCTCGTCCAAGACACGACCATATTTACATACTTCTCACAGTTCAACTCCAGCGAACCTAATGGTTTAATGCGTATCCGTATTTCCAAAATGGCCGCCATCGGGAGGTCTATATTATGTTACGGTCTCTTTTCGTAACCTCACCGCGTGCGCCGCTGGTCGTTTAACCGCGATGACGTCATAATCCTTACGTCATCAACGTGACGTCATCCGTAAAATGTGTCGACGGCCACACGGGCGCTAGCGGAGCAACCCTTGACCTTTGACCGTTGACGCAGACGTCGTTGACTCGCCACGTTTCAGTCGACGGCGTGTGGCGCGAGTGGAGCGAGTGGACCGAATGCGTGGTAACCTGCGGAGGGTCGGTGCAGAGTCGGCAGCGCGGCTGCACCGGTCCGTACTACGGCGGTGCCGACTGCGATGGAGAGACGCTAGAAGAGCAAGTGTGCAACACGAACCCGTGCCCAGGTGAGAATTCCCCCCGCGCGTCTCTTCCCGCTGTGTCCTTCTCCGTCTTCTTCTCCCTCGTCTGCTTCCCTGGTTTCTACTTCGTCTCCTCCTCTTCCGTCTCCCTTCTCCCACCGTTTCTTCTCACCGTCTTCTACTCGTCTCCTTCTCCATCTTCTCCCCAGTTTCATTTCCCGGATTCTACCCCCTCTCCAAACCCCGTCACCCACCGTGTCCCACTGTATCCTTCCCTCGCCTCCTCCCCGTCTCCTCCTCCCGTCTCCTCCTCCGTCTCCTCCTCCGTCTCCTCCTCCGTCTCCTCCTCCCGTGTCCTCTGCCGTGTCCTCTCCGTCTCCTCCTCCGTCTCCTCCTCCCGTCTCCTCCTCCGTCTCTTCCTCTGCCTCCTCCTCCGTCCCCTCCTCCCGTGTCCTCTGTCGTCTCCTTCTCCGTCTCCTCCTCTCGTGTCCTCTGCCGTCTTCTCTCCGTCTCCTCCTCCCGTGTCCTCTGCCGTCTTCTCTCCGTCTCCTCCTCCCGTGTCCTTCTTCCGTGTCCTCTGCCGTCTTCTCTCCGTCTCCTCCTCCCGTGTCCTCTGCCGTCTCCTCCTCCGTCTCCTCCTCCCGTGTCCTCTGCCGTCTCCTTCTCCGTCTCTTCCTCCCGTGTCCTTTGCCGTCTCCTCCTCCGTCTTCTCGCCCGCTAGAAGGATTTCCTTCTACTGTTAGAAATATTCTTAGGCTCTAGAAAATTTTATGCTGTGTACACTTTCCACGTTTCTCGCGAAAAGATACACGCAATGCTGTCATGATACGTAATGGGTATTAATTTTCCTTTTTTTGCAGTCAATGGAGAGTGGCAGGAATGGGGCGAGTGGACGGAGTGTACGTTAACGTGTGGAAGCGGATCCCAGGACCGGGAGCGAGAGTGCACGAAGGCTCTACACGGAGGCTTCAACTGCTCGGGCAATGCCACGAACAGCCGGATATGCAACACACAATTCTGTCCAAGTACGAACTTTTTATAACCACCGTGCCATGGGGTCGAATACTGTACAACACGAGATGTATTACTCCATATGTGGATAATTATAGATTTTTTAAGGTTGAAGAAAAGTATCCGCGCAACATTTAGATGGTATGCGTGTTGCTCTCTATATGTCTTGGTGAAAGGGTTTCTTTTATATCTCGATAATAATTCATAAAAGTAGAGAAAATCCTTGCTCATTTTCTTGTCCAAATACGGACCTTTTAAACAGACATGAGTGAAAAGACATTTTAAAAAGTTCGCTCGAACAAACTTTTTAAAATATTTTTTACTCATGTCTTTTCAAGAGAAGAGCACCGCATCAAACGACCATGTCATCAGGCATTGTTTCACGACGGCTAAACATTGTTCGCCCACTACATTTTTCATGTCGCAATTTTATGACGTATATATGTCGTGTGATGCAGTGCTGCACAGTAGAAACTTTTTTAGTATATGTCGTTTTCTGGCACGAGTTTCACCTCTCTGTGTGCAATTTTGACAAACATTTTCGCAACGAAAGAAAGACTAAGTTCTATTTTTTGACGCGTAGACAGTTATCTATGAGCGGGGAAATGCAGTGAATACTTTCAGATTGCTAAGCGAAATGCTGTGTTTGGCAGCTCACAGCTTTAGAAAAATATGGAAAGGCACTAAGAATACATTATACGAGAATACGAGGAGCCTTATATATTAAAGTGGGCATGTGAAATGACTCGCCAGACAAGCAGTCAGCGGGTTTTATATTACCTACCGAACTTTAAATCTCGTTTCTCGTTTTCAGTTGACGGCGTTTGGCGGCAGTGGAGCGATTGGAGCGAGTGCAACGTCACCTGTGGAGGAGGACAGTCCTACAAGAACCGCTCCTGTAGCGGGCCTTACTACTCGGGGCTTGACTGCCAGGGTCCCAGCACGGAGCACAAGTCGTGCAATGAACACCACTGCCCAGGTGAGGAAGCATCGGCGAGAATCATGCGTCGTGTTTTTCGCGATGTTTAATCTGACCACGGAGGGCGCCACCGGCCCCCGATCGCTGTCGCAGGGCTTTTGTTAAACACAGGCATTGTTAGTGTAGCAATCTTACCAGCCGAGTTTCTCCACGGTCGTTTTCTTTGACGACTGTCGCAGAAACACCACTCCGTGTCAACTACTAAAGTACTACTAAAGTCAACTACTGTCCACTCAAGTACTAATTTCCATGCGCGCGCGTATTTTTCTGATTGCGCGTTCTTTCGTTATGGTTTTTTAAGCTTCGCCCGCGTGTTAGCAACGTATCGCGCAAGATGCGCTCTTGTTTCTGTTTTTCAGTTGACGGTGTCTTTACGCCGTGGACGGACTGGTCGGAATGTTCGGTCACGTGCGGCGGCGGCTGGCAGAACCACTCGCGAGAGTGCGTGGGCACGATGTACGGTGGTCGGCCGTGTCCGGGCAACTCCAGCGAGGAGCGGTTGTGTAATGAAAATCTTTGCCCAAGTATGACCCGGCTGGCGATGCAGCCGCCCTCGGCCAAGATCTACCTTCCACAGCACTCTGCACGATCTGCTCTCTCTCTCTCTCTCTGTCTCTCTCTTGCTCTCTTTCGCTGTCTCTGTCGATCTCTCCTGATCTTATTTGTCGTACGTGTGTGTTTTTTGGAGAGTAGCGCGAGTGTCTCTCTCTCGCGCGCCGCGCTCGTTCTACGGCGTTTTTGTGTTAGAGAAACATGGGACCGCGAGCGATGCCCGCAGTGCGGCTTTTGAGGGGAGACGTTGTTCGCCCTCCTCGCGAAAATTTTGCAAAGTTTTGACGTGCACCCCACCCGCTGCCAGCGCCGCCACGGGTCGAAGCGACTGCGCGTGCGCCGCGCGCTGGCAACCGGCCGGAGCATCGTCAAAATTTTGGTCAAAAATTTTCACCAGGAGGCCACGATGCGCCCCGACGGGGGATTCAACCCTCGCAGCCTCGGTAAGGACAACGTGCATTGTTTTGCCGCTTATATTTTGTGTAGAATTTTGGTCCTATGATGATTACGGTGCGCGTGTCGTCTTAGCGGAGATACGCATATATATATATATATGTATATATATGTATATGTATATATATATATATATATATATATATTATTATAAGTAGAGAGGTGTGGTGATTTAGTAGCGCAGAAGTAAGCGATAGCTAAGAAGCAGGGTCAGCTGACGGGGACTTCCGTGTCGCTTAATGTTAGTCAATTGCAGCTGTTGTTCTGTTCGTTACAATGCAGTTCCGAGCAGAAAGGTAAGTCTGCTGTTGACTTGCAGGCGTTTGGTGTGGCGTGTTCCGATCCGGTTTTTAAATCGGATAAGTTAGTTTATTTTAATTCGGTGAAGCTAAGCACGATGCAGAAGTGCCACGTCCCCCCATAGACTTCATAAGAAAGTGTAGTAGCAGTCGCTGCCATTTATCTCTCTTCTCTGATTAGGTAAACATTACTTTTGTCTGAGATACAGAGATGCTTCAGTATAAACAGCTAGTGATTCTCAGAGTCGATGCTCATGTTTATTACATAAGTGATTTGTCTGACTGCATTGCACTGTGCCCTTGTAGCCATGTGTGGAATGGATTTGGCCTTACAGGGCCTGTCCACAGACCAAATCGGTAGAAAAGCCCGCATGGAACGTACATATGGCAGAGCTGGCATCTCCATTATGTATCCATGAAGAGGAATGCGTGCGTCTTGGCAACGGTGGCATTGTCTTTTCGTGAGTCTTCGAATGCAACGAGCTTTTCCTTAGCTGATGGTCTTGGTTGTACGAGTGCCGATTTCCATGTTGGCTGCCAGAGGGCGCTGTTTGATAACACATGACCATTGCCCGCCGGTGCATTCACCCGTCGACATTCAGAATTGATTTTCAATGCTTTGAAGTGAAGAGTTCCTGGACGCAGTGGAGTGACTGGAGCGATTGCAGCTCCACATGTGGCAGCAGTGCCAAGCAGAGCCGTCGGCGCGAGTGTATCGTAAGGGAGACGACGTGCGTTGGTTCTGATGGCGAAGCACGTCTCTGCAGTCTTCATCCATGTCCCGGTAAACGTGAAATGCATGTAGAAGGAGAACCTCTTCTTCTCACATGCATCTCCGTGTGACACTCACGCGCGAATTGATCGCGGCAATCAGAGGGCGTTTGTTTCGATCGAACATTGACCGTTTATCAACGCGCATGCGCGAATAACGAAAGAGCAGCAGTAGTTTTGCCGTCATTAGTAGATTCGAATTTTGAATGTAATTTGTTGTAATTAATTGAATGTTTTATAATAGCCGACGAATATTTTCAGGGCCGCAAAAAAGTGATTATTGTTTCTATTTTTGATTGGCGATTCGACGGCTTCATCGCCAAGGGGGAGCCGACAATCAATATCAGTCAGTGATTTCTCTATTAACTCTTCCTGCATGTTCCCAACAGAAGACGGTCAGTGGAGTGACTGGTCGAAGTGGAGCGAATGCAGCGCCACCTGCGGTAGTGCGTCGCACACGAGGTACAGGGTATGTGAGGGTCGGGCGCACGGCGGACTGGACTGCGCAGGCGCGGCGACGGAGCGGGCGTCGTGCGACAGTGTCGCCTGTAGCGGTGAGGCTAGCCGTTTGTTTTCTCTTCATCGCTGGTCGCCTCCCACACCGCTTACGCGCCCTCTAGTGACTGCTGTTTGCGCACGCTGGCTCTATCTAGTAGTCGACGCACGAAACGTACAGGAGGCGCGAGGTTCTGTTGGACTGGTCTTGCTGGCTCGGGTGTCACAGGAAAAACATGGTGTCGGAGAAGTCGTTGAACACCTGAAGCTTCCAGGTCACGTGTCGCGATGATGTCGGTCTCGCTGATGTTGTTATGTGACTTTCGGTTGGATTGTTTGTTGCCGACGTTGCTTCTGCACGTGCACCGAAAGGACGACTGTCGCCAGGATGGGATGCCGCTGTTTCAGATGATAAGCTGCTCTTCTAGGCAAGACAACCGACTGTTGGGGCCATTGACTTCGCTGTTCTATCTTCCTTTCACAGCATTGATCAAATGTCGGTTCATTCTCCGGTAGATTGTAGGTTAGCTAATTTACAGTAGACGAAGACGACGAGCGGTGTTAGTGTATCTTGCATTGCAGATGACGGTTGTCCTTTTATTATAACGAAATTCTCCTGAAAAGGACGCAGACCTCATCCAACACTGGTCAAAAGTCGAAACTCGAAAAACGAAGTTTAAACGAATCCATCTGGGGCTGATTTTTATTGTCATGTCTGAAGTAGCAACCGTCGATGACTCGTGCGTTTTCGAAAGATAAAAAGAAAAAAACTGCAGTTCCTATTCAGACTCGCGACCGCTTACGATATATATATACGATTCGTAGGCGACCCGACATCAAGCTGTGGCGGCGGTTAACCTGCGTGGCTATTTGCTGTTCGTACTTGCGCCCACATAGATACACGTTGCATAATATAACTACTACCGCCCCCGAGGTTGCTTTTGCATTTTACACGCGTGGTTTTCCTTTCGCTTCAACTGCACCGCGTCTCACGAGGAAGCGTTGCGGCCAACTTTGTCGTCGGTCCAATAACAAAATTACTTCGTCGACAGACGGAAAATTAATAGTCGGCAAATGAAGAATCAGAAGCTGCTGTCATACCAAACAGGCGCTGCTCCTGCATATATATATATATATATATCTATATCTATATATATGTCATGTCATGTCATGTCATGTCATATATGTCATAAATATATATATATATGTCGCGTCTAGTGCTACACTCTCGTATTAGCTTAAGTCTTAGATGTCGCTTGCTGGGCTTCGTGCGGGTCCTTGATAGTCTACCTCCCAGCTCGGTGGATGCCGCGAGCTATCTCGCTACTGTGGCGACGCCTGGCGCTTCCTCTGCGAGTGCAAAAACTTTGCGTGAGTTTTGCAGTATACACACGCACGGCAAGAGCACACACTACATGCTGCTACCACTACTGCACAGAGGCATTGCTAAACATGCTGCTCTGTGGTTATGGCTCACACAAATTGTAGACGGTTAATATAGATAGCTGTTGAGCGTTTACCTGCCCTGTTCTCGTCGCATTTGACAGCTAGGTAGGCCTACAGCTGTGGCTCTTAGCGATGGCTTCCGATGAGCCTTTGCTATGCTGTTGCCTGTGCATTCGGGTTAATTCGCCACAGAATTTACACGAGAGGCATCGTTACTTACTACAGCGTAACCGTTCTCTGTCTTGGAACCACCCATTACCACCACCATTCATTACCACCAACGCGAAAACGTACAGTACAGCAGACTGCATCGTTCGTTCTCTCTTGCGATATCGCGATAGCCTACAGAGAGCAGGATCGAATTGCTTTGGCAAGATCTCTGAGCGAGACTATATAGTAGCTGATCGGAATGTCCGGCATTCTCTGTAGCGAGTGCTCGCGAAGCGTTGTGCACATTGCTAAACTCAGGCAAGCGCGTTCGTGTGCTGTGCAGTGCCGGTGTTCATTCGTTTTACTCGACAGCCACGGGAGAACTCGACGATTGGTGGCGATGACTTGGTCTTTAATTGCTACTAATATAATTCATGCGCCGGTAGTGATATTACGTATTTTTGTCGCTTTTTGTATTTTATAGCTTTAATCGCCACATCGTGGCATCGCCCTCAGCCTGCTGCCTGCGTCTATGTCTTCCTAGACTGTTCGGATCGGTGACGTAACGCCGGCCATTTTGAGCACGGAGTAGTCAATCGCTTGCAGTGCCTCTGTGCAGTGGAAAGTCATGCGTTCGCACGTTTTATCCCCGCGTTAATACCTCGAGCATTCGTTCTAGCACGAGTTGAGAGCCGGCCACACGCTGTCGCTCTCAGACGAACGCGTACGCGCGCAATGTTGAGGATTGCTTTGTCTTGTTAGTTGATTTCGCGGTCCGGAGGGGTTACCTACTCCCTCCGCGTGCAAAATGAATGCACGTGTTGAATGCACGATCGTTTCAGAAAGATTGCAAACCGACTAGAGAGACAGAGCAGTTTGAAACATCGACTCAGAAAAAATATGTATTTGGCGACTGCTAAAAATGCAGTCCTAAGTGCATACGTGTAGGTATATGTAACTATATAGGTGCGTAGATGCTTTCCGGATAGAAGGCACGCTGTCTTGTAAGGTTAGAGTTTACGTGATGCAAGAGCTAGATCCCCTTTCACGATGACTCGATAACTGCAATCATATTACCATCTTTTCGTGGCCCATTATGGTTGCCTCTAAGAACTGGAATCGTATGGAAGTTTTAAGGAATCATTAGAAGCAATGTTCAGCGTAGAGTCTTGTTCGGCTGCTGAGATATTGTACTTTGTTGTCCAAGTCGATGGTTTCTGGCATCCCTGGAGCGAGTGGACAGAGTGCACGGTGTCTTGCAATGGTGGCAAGCAGGCTCGGTTTAGAGAGTGCGTAGAGGAACAATATGGCGGCGTGCCATGTCGCGGTGAGACCACCGAGAATCGACCGTGCGGAAATGACAAATGTCCAGGTAAGCTATACCTGTGGTGATCGCGCGTTTCGAGATGTCGACGTCACCATGTCGGCGCGTTTTAATGTCGCGTCCGTTCGTAGCTGCGACAATTTTATTTTTTATTTTTTATTAATATTTATTGCATGTAATTAAAATACACATATTTGTACTGATGACATAGATGATGATATAGACATGAAATCTGATAGATGCAATAGTGTTGAGCGGTTATAATAATAAGTGTTAAAACAGCAGGACTAGACAGACAGTTAAGGGTGACATGAATGGACATGGGTAGCATAATAGGGCTCTGTGGTCTTTTGAGTTTTCTATTCTAAATCCAAAGTTACACCTGTACCTGGAAAACACCCATACACACGCCGGACACACACACATACACACACTCACACACACACACATACACACACACACACACACACACA